TGTCGTGCTGGGGAAGCTCTGGGAACTTACGGAAGGGGGCTCCTAAGTCCTGTTTGGAGGAGTGGGTCCGGAGGGTCCTGCTTTTGCATGCAATGCGTGTTCTCAGGGACCTGTGGTGTCCCACCTGAGGGGGTAGGGGACAGTTTCCTGCCTTCGAGTCAAAGTCAAAGTGGGGATCTCAGAATTGAGGAGCTTAAGAGCTTTGAAAAAAGGAGCCCAAATTCTGAGCCTCTTCATAATGGTACCTCAGAGATCAAAGGAGAGTTTCAGGGTTGCATGGGGGAGTCTCAGTCTCTGTGTAAGGGTGGGAAGGATTAGGAGAGTCCGCATGGGATGCCTGTGAGGGAAGAACTTGGGATGAGAAGAGCTGAAAGGGAAAGGGCCCAGGGAAAATGTGTGTGGGAGAGTGTCTCTCAAGACCTGAGTTGCAGGGAACCCACGTGCGACCGAAATCTAGATAGGAGATCTGTGGAGGGGGCGCCCCCTGGGGGAAGAGGAGACCAAAGAAGTGTGCACCCGGCACCCCTAAACATGGGGAGCCATCAAGAGGTTCAGGTGAGGTGGGGAGGGCGTGCCACCTGTTGTCCCAGTGTGCTGGAATAGGTAGGCTCTCCAGGATCGGGTCCTCCCTGCCCCCTCCCTACCCCTTAGGCCCTCTGAAGTGGGGAGTGGGGGCCCCTGGCGCCGAGAACTCGCCCAGCCTGGCCCCCAGCCAGCCCAACCTCGGCCCGGCCGGCGTGAGCTCATCTCCCGCCTGAGACCCCGCCCGCTGCCACTCCCTCTCTCCTCCCCTTCCTCCCTCCTTCCTTTACTCCCTCCCGGCCCAGCCCCAACGCGCCCGTGCCAGGCGCCTTGCCCAGGCGTGTGCCAAGCCCTTGGAGGCGCAAGGAGGGGCATGTGAAGGGGAACTGACCTCAGCAGGACCTCAGTGTCCTCAACTCTCTGTTCTTCCAGGGTTTGGGGACATGGTGTTGGCCTGACCATTCTGGTGGCACCCTGGGGTGTGGGC